CTTAACTGCACAAACAAGATATACGATTTAAAGCTGAGACTCCACAGATTCCACACATGTAATGTCATCACTGTAAGACCTCGAATTCCTGGAGCTATCAGCCAGAAAAGAGAAAGTAAACAACATCCGGTTCCAAAAATATTACAATAATTACGTCTTACCTTTTTTGATTTGTGATCAAAATTGTGTTCAACGGAATAAAAACGCATCTCAAGGTTAATCCAATGTCGTTGTGTCACGTAGAATTTTTTACTGATAATCAATCATCATATTTATGGAAATATACTCGGCTATTCACATGCAAATGCTATTGAATGTCCGCCATTGTTTGTGCCCGTCTTCCTATGCTCTCGTCATCATCCGAAGATTCCCGAAGTATTTCGTTTCATTGAGAGGGCGCAGTCAAATTGAAAATAAAATGAAACTAGGCGCATGAAATTAATAAAAATGGTTTATTATGCTTATTTTTAATAAAAATACATAAGTTAAACCCAAAATTCGCGGATTTCCACTATCCCTTTAAGGTACATCAATTCACCATCAACTAATTGTTAGTTAACATGCATATTAGCAGTATATTGGCTCTTTATTAGTCATTATAAAACGGACAAGTCAAATCAAGCAATCTGATTGGTTCTTAGCCGTGATATAATGAGCGTATATCACGGGTAGAATTGTAGTTACTTTTCACAACAAGTCGGTATCCCTCCGCGTCTGAGAAAAGCTACAACCGTTACAACTGTTACATTACGGCCGTTACGAAACTAACTAACTAACAAAGCTTAAGATGGAAACATGTAAGGGATAATGTGCAGCAAGGACGTATTGCCCGTTGTTCAGGACGCTCACATCTGCAGAAAGAAGTCCGGTCGATATATATATACAGTTTGGCTGAAAAGCAAACTGGGACAAGAAAACAGCGGAGAAGTAACCGGGCAGAAACCCTCCTTTTTACGCAGCGGTCCAGACATAGACATCAAACGGCAAAACATATTCAGTGTGCAGTTACTTTGGCATTAGGGCAGGGATATCTAGATACTTTCCAAGGTTTAACATCATGAATTGTGCTACTTTTAAAGCAAGCAACGATGTTTTCAAATCTGTAATAAAAAAGGTCCGCAAAAACGCTATCGAAGCCGTTCGTACCGCTTCGCGTCGGGCCGAACCACGCCCCTTAGCTGTCACCATATACCACGGCCTGCTGAAGTGAGCTATTGCTTAATTATAAAACACTTATTAATGCCTTATTCTACATGACCATATTCTACAACTAGGCCATTAGTTAAGAGTTAATAACCCTCTAATGAGTGCTTATATATTGTACGTAAGGAAGTTGTTGTACATGAGAGGGTCTTATATGCTCAATATGCTGTAGCAGTACCACACGAATAGTAATTCTCTCATAATTACACCTAGCAAATGTGGTCTATTCTTATGTAACAAGACATGAAACTACAAGAGTTAATTGTGTCAAAATAACTCAAAATGTGGTATTTCTAACTCAGAATATGTTCACCAATAAACTATGTAGTTTGGCTCTAATATGAATGTTAATGAACAACTAGTTGATGGTGAATATGTGTACCTTAATCTAAAATGTTACCCTTGTTTATTATCATAGGGAATAAAACTCATGCACGGTGGAAAGTTTCTGACCTTGGTGTAATCAGATCATTGTTCCAGTAATTATCACATATCAAGCTATCCATATTAATACCTGAGCATGGTGTGATACAGTTGGATTACTCTGGTTTATTACAGTCATTCAGATGAGCTGGCGGTCTGACTGTTTCAATAAGTAATAATCATTCACAGTTACGCACCATTTGGGAATTTATCCGATTACATCCTCATAACTGGGAGGTTTTCCCATGATCCTGGTATTACTCCCTTTTAATTATGAGTAGACACTTCAATGAGATTGCAATGAAACCAGTGAGTAACCCCCCCCCCCCCCGTAATTCTCAATGACTCACACAAAATCACATGCTCTCGTTCATACAGTCTCTTTCAGTTTGTCTGGTGTTTCCTTGATTTACCTTGACAGATCGATCAGTTTGAGGTCAGAGTAGATGTTTTTAAGGCAGGTTTTGGGGATAATGTGGAAAATCTAAGGCATATAAAACACAACATGTCAACAAAGTCATAAATCAGGCTCAACAGTGCAGTTTGTTGTTCACAGAGAGGGAATTGGGAAGACAGGAAATAACCATATCAATAATGTGTTAAAGTTACAGATTTGAGCAATTTTCTGGTCTTTTTCTTCACTTAAAAACTGAAACGTTGACTTTAATGTTTTATGTCAACAAACTGTGTTATATTGATATTAAAGGTCACCTATCATGCTATGTTTAGGCAATAGCATAGGTCTCAGATATATAACAATATATAAAAAACATGTCTATGAAGTGTTTTGCTCAAAATACCAAACAGTTCATCCATTCTAGCTAGGGGTGTAACGGTTCACAGAAGTCACGGTTCGGTTCGTACCTCGGTTTGGGGGTCACGGTTCGGTACAACAAGAAATAGCAAAAAAAGTCCCAAATGCATAATTTCTGGTTTGTTGTTATTTATGTTTGAACAGTAGTGCAAGTTTCAGTTTAAAAATAAGGAACTCTGACATTTTGAATAATGAACTGTATTAAACAGTTAAAAACAAACCATACACAGTACACTCAGATGGCCATATTATCTATAATGGCTGATGTCAAACAAAAAGGTTTCATCAAGCTGTAAAACTAAAAAGAATGTCTTGAAAATATTACATCCTAAATAATAAGAAAGTGTTTCAAGAGCGCAAAGCCGTTGAAAAACATATGCCAAAAGTTTCCGTTATTTCTTTTGTTCTCTCGGCTCTCATGTCTCTTGGCTTATTAAAAACAGCAGGGATCAGCTGTTGAACTGCTGTTGTCTTTTGCCGGGCTCCGGTGATTGGCAAATCTGGGTGATGCCTTCTGATATGATTTAGCATGTTTGCCGTATGTTTCCATTAGCATACCGCACCGCTGTCGAACAACGCCGACACACCGTCCTCGTACAATCCACCACTCGTCCGATCCACCACTCGCACTCTTCATCGTTGTTGTAGTCCACAGGGAACCCGAAATGTTCCCACACAGCTGATTTAAAAGAAGCAGGTGGGTTCTAGCTCCTGTGTGTTATCTGAAATCGCCATACTAACTTTTCTTCTTCTTGTAGTTTGTTCGTTTTGTTGTTGTGTTTCTTCTTGTTCTTCATTTGTTGTTTAAGGGCGGCTGGCAAACAGCTTTTAGGCGCAATACCGCCCACTGGATTATATATAGTGTAGTGGATACTGCCCTGAATGACAGATTTTTTTCCCACTCGTAAAAAAAAAGGCGTATTCGTCGTGTGACTGCGTGTGCCGAACCGTGACGTCCGAACCGTGACGGTACGGGACGAATACGGATACCGTTACACCCCTAATTCTAGCCATGCCTCATATCCCTCTATTTCACTTCCTGTTTCAAAAGTGCTGATTTGGGGTATAAAGCTTTAAAAAAATAAAAATAAAAAGGAGGGGTCTGAGCTCACGCGGGACCCGGCAGCTACTGTCTAAACTAAATTCTGCCGTGATGAAACGCCATATCATGGATTATCAAGGATCTGAAACAGTCTGGAGCTCAAAGGCTTTCTCTCTTGCCGGTTATACCACAAGGTGAGTTCCTTTTTACTTCCTGCTTCTTCACACACATGCTCTCCAGTACAGGTTAGCTCTGAGTGTTAGCGATGCTAATGTAAACACCGACCATATTACGTCCAAAACAGTCGAGCATTGTTTCTGATAGCAACGTTTCTGATTGGGCCGTGGGTCCACATTTCAGATATTACGTCATATCGGACGACAATCTGGATCAGCTCCGTTGTTCCCCGTTTTTAGAGATTTGGGTACGGAGGAAAAGAGAGAGGGTTTTATTTTCTGACGCTGCGTGAGTTCCCCGACACACATGCATGATAGGTCCCCTTTAAATTTAAATAAGGTTCAACGTAATATTATTGCTTTCGACTAACCTAATACAGTTAGTTGACATGATACATTTAATTCAACATATCAGTTTTGTCAGTGCAGTAAAATAGCTTACAACCTACTTTTATGTTTTGGACAATGCACATTTGTTTTTCTTATACTCTTGCTTTCAGAGGAACAAATCTGAGAGAATATGGAAAATGTTTAGCATCAAAAACGAACAACAACCTCAACAGCAAGTCATATTGATCCATAAGCATGAATTTCACTTCAATGTCACAAACCAGACTCTGGAAAACTTGGCAAAAACATAGTTAGTTATTTGTTAAAGTAACCGATCTGCGCGTACAATTTTGAATCAGTAGACTATAGTGTATTTTTTGTTTTGCTAAGAGCCTACACTACTGTTTTATATATTAACGTTGCATATTGTACAATTAACATTAAACCTCCAAAGAGCAAATTCAATATTATTGAGGCAGCTATTTCTCAGAAAGTTCTTTATGCAAAATAAGATCTCAAAAAGTGGCGAGGGCCTAAATTGACACCTAAGTTATTTGATCTTATCAAACCCTGGTTAGCAAGTGTTTTTGTTTTAGTGTGTTTTGGCTAACGCACATTTTTTTGTTTAACGTCACATAGTTACTGTTCAAAATAACCTTCCAAAGTGCAATTTCAATATTATTGAGGCAGCTGTTTCTCAGAAAGTTCTTAGAAATCTATGCTTTTGAAATAAATAAGATCTCAAAAAAGTGGCGAGGGCCTAAAGTGACACCTAAGTTATTTGATCTTATCACACCCTGGATAAATGAATCTTGGAATACAACTCTTGCATTCACAAAAACAAATTCCTGCAGCAGACTATTTTTACCCATTGAAGTGCACTGCTGCAGCCGACCTTCAGGAGTGTTTCCCATCCTGAAAAGCTACTTGATTTCCACTTCATAACAATGTCCTGCCCTGTCCTGTCCTGTCTGTCCCGGTCACATCCTCCCTATCCTGCCCATCGGTACAATATCTTCCAAATGCTCTTTGGGGGCGGAAAAGTCTCAGCTGAAAGTTGCAGGTTCCAGATATCAGTACGAACAATGGTCCAAAGGATAAGGCAGGATTTATCAACAGGAGCTTCATAATTGCTGTTAATAATTACAGTCGTGATAAGAGGCGGCAGAGGTGGCATTTCTTGATGGAAAAGCTGTCTGAGGGGCCATTTGAACTCCAGGAGCAAGAGGAGGAAGAAGAGAAAGTGGAGAGTGTGGATTTGAGACAGATTAGGACATTTTCAGGTAGGATATAACACTTATTCAGATAAGGAAATGTTGCTTTTTGAAGGCATTTGGGTGTGAAGTCTTTACACTTTTCCCTTGTTCATGTGATGTGTGTTTCTTTCCGTTAACTTTCAAGTGGGAACTAAGTATTCTTTTGTAAGTTTCTGTGTTTCTCTTATTTTCCTACGATGCTGTTATGATTGGCTTTGAATAAGAACATATGAAGGATAGACCATCTATTTCTATTTATTTATTATATATATATAAGATTATTTTCTTCTCCGTGCTCCTTTTCGGGTATGGTGTGTTTATAGAGACATGTTTTGTACATAATTGTTATACATTAAGTTGTGCATATTGATCGGGAACAAATAAAAATGAAATGAAATATCACAGGATCTTTATAAGTAGACAGAATTCCAGGGAAGCTGCTACCATCGATTTGGGGAAAAGTTCAGTGGTAAAAACCTCTGAGGTGTTCCTGTTTCTACATCTCAAAAATAGCCTGACACCAGAGGTGGGAAGTAGTGGAGTACACATACTTTGTTACTGTACTTAATTACATTTTTCTTGTATCAGTACTTTACTCCACTACTTATTTTTCTGACCACTTTTTACTTTGACTTCTCACATTTTGAACTCAAATACCTGTACTTTCTACTTCTCACATGTTGAACACAAATACCTGTACTTTCTACTTCTTACATGTTGAACACAAATACCTGTACTTTCTACTTCTCACATGTTGAACACAAATACCTGTACTTTCTACTTCTTACATGTTGAACTCAAATACCTGTACTTTCTACTTCTTACATGTTGAACACAAATACCTGTACTTTCTACTTCTTACATGTTGAACACAAATACCTGTACTTTCTACTTCTTACATGTTGAACTCAAATACCTGTACTTTCTACTTCTTACATGTTGAACACAAATACCTGTACTTTCTACTTCTTACATGTTGAACTCAAATACCTGTACTTTCTACTTCTTACATGTTGAACACAAATACCTGTACTTTCTACTTCTTACATGTTGAACTCAAATACCTGTACTTTCTACTTCTTACATGTTGAACTCAAATACCTGTACTTTCTACTTCTTACATGTTGAACCCAAGTACCTGTACTTTCTACTTCTTACATGTTGAACACAAATACCTGTACTTTCTACTTCTTACATATTGAACTCAAATACCTGTACTTTCTACTTCTTACATGTTGAACTCAAATACCTGTACTTTCTACTTCTTACATGTTGAACTCAAATACCTGTACTTTCTACTTCTCACATGTTGAACCCAAATACCTGTACTTTCTACTTCTTACATGTTGAACACAAATACCTGTACTTTCTACTTCTTACATGTTGAACTCAAATACCTGTACTTTCTACTTCTTACATGTTGAACTCAAATACCTGTACTTTCTACTTCTTACATGTTGAACTCAAATACCTGTACTTTCTACTTCTTACATGTTGAACTCAAATACCTGTACTTTCTACTTCTTACATGTTGAACTCAAATACCTGTACTTTCTACTTCTTACACGTTGAACCCAAATACCTGTACTTTCTACTTCTTACATGTTGAACTCAAATACCTGTACTTTCTACTTCTCACATGTTGAACTCAAATACCTGTACTTTCTACTTCTTACATGTTGAACCCAAATACCTGTACTTTTTACTTCTTACATGTTGAACTCAAATACCTGTACTTTCTACTTCTCACATGTTGAACTCAAATACCTGTACTTTCTACTTCTTACATGTTGAACCCAAATACCTGTACTTTCTACTTCTTACATGTTGAACTCAAATACCTGTACTTTCTACTTCTTACACGTTGAACCCAAATACCTGTACTTTCTACTTCTTACATGTTGAACCCAAATACCTGTACTTTCTACTTCTTACATGTTGAACTCAAATGCCTGTACTTTCTACTTCTTACATGGTGAACCCAAATACCTGTACTTTCTACTTCTTACATGTTGAACTCAAATACCTGTACTTTCTACTTCTCACATGTTGAACTCAAATACCTGTACTTTCTACTTCTCACATGTTGAACTCAAATACCTGTACTTTCTACTTCTCACATGTTGAACTCAAATACCTGTACTTTCTACTTCTTACATGTTGAACCCAAATACCTGTACTTTCTACTTCTTACATGTTGAACTCAAATACCTGTACTTTCTACTTCTCACATGTTGAACTCAAATGCCTGTACTTTCTACTTCTTACATGTTGAACTCAAATGCCTGTACTTTCTACTTCTTACATGGTGAACCCAAATACCTGTACTTTCTACTTCTTACATGTTGAACTCAAATGCCTGTACTTTCTACTTCTTACATGGTGAACCCAAATACCTGTACTTTCTACTTCTTACATGTTGAACTCAAATACCTGTACTTTCTACTTCTCACATGTTGAACTCAAATACCTGTACTTTCTACTTCTCACATGTTGAACTCAAATACCTGTACTTTCTACTTCTCACATGTTGAACTCAAATACCTGTACTTTCTACTTCTCACATGTTGAACTCAAATACCTGTACTTTCTACTTCTCACATGTTGAACTCAAATACCTGTACTTTCTACTTCTTACATGTTGAACTCAAATACCTGTACTTTCTACTTCTTACATGTTGAACACAAATACCTGTACTTTCTACTTCTCACATTTTGAACCCAAATACCTGTACTTTCTACTTCTTACATGTTGAACTCAAATACCTGTACTTTCTACTTCTTACATGTTGAACTCAAATACCTGTACTTTCTACTTCTCTCATTTTCCAAACAGCTGGTTCCTTTAGTCTGAATGTGTGTTTGGTGGCGTGATCATTATTCTTTAGAGTCATTGCGTGCCTATTGATTTGAACACGATCCGTGTATCCATCATTTCCTGGTCTTCTCTAAAGAAGAGGGACCAATGGAAACGTTGTCATGTTGCCGTTGTTCAGCATGGAAACATTCATTAGCTAACAATTACATTATTGTTCTATTAATATAAAGGGAGGTCAGGTACTCTTTAAAACAGCTGCTAGTTATGGGTACTTTTTACTAAGTACATTTCAAAGCCTCTTTACTTCTACTTGAGTAAAGAAGTTTAGTCAGTACTTCTACTTTCACCAGAGTATTTTTAAACACAAGTATCTGTACTTCTACTTGAGTAAAGGATGTGTGTACTTTTACCATCTCTGCCTGACACACACGGTGCAGTTGAGGACTCTGCCAAGTCTGTTCCTTTGTTGTTTGCTGTTAATGTTATTTGATAATTGAGGTTCAAAGGCAGCACAGGACCCTCTTCCCTAACTTAATGTGATAAATGGCCCTCAGATCCCCAGAGGGACGAGGCAGCAGAGAGGACACGATGCGTCCTGGAGCTCAGCAGTACGTGGTGGCCCGGCAGCTTTACTCCGAGGACTCCTTCACCGAGAACCATGAGAAGGTTTACCGCCACAGAAAGACCATGTTGGACCACTTCAAGCAGTACTTAACGTAAGAAAAGCATGCAATGCTTGTTTTTATTGGTTTATGTTTCCTAGGAGGGTTCTGACCCGTCATCAGTGCACAAGTAACCTTTGATGTTTGGCCCTGTATAGAAGAGAGTGGGTTAACTTCCTGTTTCATGAGTTAAACGGTATTTTATTATTGTGAAACTTAACTATAACTTCCAGTACAACATAGAAATATACTGTCCATATAGTATTATAACCTAAACTTTATGAAATGCAATTTTGTATTTCTATGGTGAATTATGATCTTCAGATTTTGTAAAGTAAAGAAGAATGTTTGGTTCTTGCTACAAATACTTTTATATTCAAAAATAAAGCTTTGGGTCCAATACTGTTTATGACATTTAAAACATGTAATTTCTCTTGTCTAGAAAGCATGTCCAGAAAGTCATGTTGAGAACTTCGGTTTTTAGTCATGTTTTGGTTCATTTATTTGATCAAATCCATGTAGACAAGGAGAAAATGGGTTTTGGTTGAACAATTCTTAAGACTAAGTGTTTACATCGTTTTTTGACGGATTTCTAACCACTTATCATTTCAAATGATTACATATTTACTTGGTCATAGTAGCAGCAGCCGCAAATATGCAAACATGACACATTTGACCCTGTTCTCCCCTAGTTTAAGCTTTAGTTTAACCCAATTATCTGTCTTGCTTTCCGGCCTCCCACTCACCAAAATGCAACCTTTACTTTGTGTTTCCGTCTATGTATACAATTATATATTTCATACTTACATAGAACTTGCTGATACTTTGAATATGATGTAGTGTCTTTACTTAAATCCACTGGAATCCCTTTGATTATATTTTAGTTCTGTATCCCAAATATCTCATCAGATAAACTTGTTTAAAGCTTCACTGCAGTGAGTGTTTATTTCACATGGGTTTTCTATTTGTTTAGATGTGATGCCAAACGAGCCAAGAATGCTGCTCTCTCTCTGCTGCCCATCATCAGCTGGATGAAAATCTACCAAATCAAAAAGTGGCTGATCAGTGACATCGTGTCTGGAGTCAGCACCGGCCTGGTAGCTGTCCTTCAAGGTAAAAACAATTATCAACTGCAAGTGTTTCACAGAATCTCATCTCTTTAAAGGCAGGGACACACCAAGCTGACACCAAAGAACTCACACAGACGGACCCGACTGTTGCGTCGCCTCGCGTCTCCTGCGTCTTGGCCATGTGTCGCACTGGAACACACCGCAAAGACTTCAGCCGACGGCCAAGAAGCACGTACGAACTGCGCATGCGTGAGTGGCAATACCTCTCCTTACCAGCAGGCGGTGGTAGTGTGTATTCGTCATTCAAAAGAGGCAACAACCGGAAGACAGACTGCGTGATAACCGAGAGAAGAAGAACAGACTGCGTGATATAAACAAACAACGAATAGCGTGTGCGTTCCATTTTCATTCTACAGCGAGAAGCTCATGGAGCTTTCCCGAACCTGTCGAGAGCTGGAGTCAAAGGAAACCTCAGATTTGCCTTCTTAATAGTTTGTTTGAGTCCCTCACTTCCGTTTCGCTTCTCATGCACTGATTCGCTAAGCTGAACAGCCAATCAGAGTCATTTCTTTGACCGACAGCCTTTGGTCGATTGCCCACCGATTCGACATGTAGAATCTGTGGGTTTTCGGCCAAAAAGGTGTCGGCACTCGGCACGGCTGAAAAGACACAACGGCGCGGGACACACCAATCTGAGTAGGGCGACAGGACGCTCATCGTCGGCCTGACATCCATCGACAGCCAAAATCGGCTTGGTGTGTCCGGGGCTTTAGGGAATGGTTTAGTGTCTCTACATGTCTCCATGTTCTAATGTTCAAAAAGCTCTTTATTTTTCTCATACTGCCTGTGCTGCAGCACCTCTTTTCACCCTCTGTCTGAAACCAGTGCCCAGTCTGCTCTGATTGGTTAGCTGGCCGGCTCTGTTGTGATTGGTCAACCTGCTTAGAGATGTCCCGCCCTTTAAACCTATCACGTACAATGTGTTGCCAATAGAAGTGTGAGTGTTACAAAGGGATGTTTTGCCTTTGCAGACCCTTTACATACACTAAAACCTATGACAAACTACAGGACAGACAAAACCCCAAAAAGCTTGATAGGGCCTCTTTAAAAAAACGGTCCAAAAGTCCCCGTTTTTGGCACAATAGCTCAATCGATCCACCGAACACTTATCAGAGACGAGGACTTTCATGACGCAGTTTTACTGTAAGCTCACTCAGACGTATGATAGTGAAATGAAGATGAATCGTTTATCGTTATCAGTAACCTTGTCCCCACGCATCACCTGATCAAGAGAGGTTGACGAATGCATTTGTAACCACGTAGCGTTGGTATCGGTAGAAACAAAAATCCTGTGTTTGAGCATTCCCAGGGAGACAGATCTTGTTACTGATTAGCCTGAAGGGTAATCGAGGGGCTAGAAAATAACTATTTATACTTCTGTACACCTCTTAAAATGAAAATAAATCCTATAACTCGTTGTTTGGCTTGTCCTTATATTCCTTTGTGGCACTGTTTGATCATTAACACTTGATATCTGATAACCTCTCATCTACTGACTGAGTTGATCAAAATGATAATATGTTTATCTTGAGCTGCAGGTCTGGGTTAGTATAATAAAAAGCACCGAAGAATTACAGAGCGTTCCTGTCGGTTTTGAGTGTAATCACAGCTAATAGCACCGATAAGAGGAATAAAGGAAACAACGGCATTATATTATAAATGTGTTCATTATATGCATGTTTTTGTGTCTCAGGTCTGGCGTATTGTCTGCTGGCCTCTTTGCCGCCCTGGTATGGACTTTTCTCCGCCTTCTTTCCCGTCATCATTTACTTTTTCCTGGGCACCTCCAGACACATCTCAGTGGGTAAGACCAGTTTAAATCCTGTCCCTATAGCTGCTTTTAAAAAACTACAACCCAGCTGATCTGCTGTCCACACATCCTTTACTCAAGTAGAAGTACAGATACTGGTGTTTAAAAATACTCTGGTAAAAGTAGAAGTACTGATTAAACTTCTTTACTTAAGTAAAAGTAAAGAGGGCTTTGAAATGCACGTCAAAAGTACCCATAACTAGCAGCTATTTTAAAGAGTACCTGACCTCCCTTTATATTAATAGAACAATAATGTCATTGTTAGCTAATGAATGTTTCCATGCTGAACAACAGCAACATGACAACGTTGTAGAAAGTACAGGTATTTGTGTTCAAAATGAAGAAGTCAAAGTAAAAAGTCATCAGAAAAAATAAGTAGTGGAGTAAAGTACTGATACCAGAAACATGTACTTAAGTACAGTAACGAAGTATTTGTACTCCACTACTCCCCCCCTCTGCAGGTCCGTTCCCGGTGTTGTGTCTGATGATCGGATCAGTCGTCACCCGGCTGGTTCCAGATGTCGGTCCGCCTGCAAACATCACGGGGTTTGAAGGCCTGTCGATGGACGATCAGAGGGTCCTGGTGGCCTCTTCTTTGACCTTCCTCGTCGGCATCATGCAGGTGAAACGCACTACAAATCATCCTCTTTCCACACTGTACAACATCATCCATTATAATAATCCTAAATTAAGTGTATAAGGGCATGAATCCCCTCCAGAAGTAGACATTCTTTTTGGGGATTTTGACCACAGCACTGTGCACACCCTGAGCTATACAGGTGTATGCTCACATAAACCACCACATCCTTATCATTAAATCAACATCATTGCAATATATTGTCCAAAATACAACCTCCTAAGTATTCAAAATCTTTACAGCCATCATGCATTGGAATATGCATCTAAATGACCTTAAAACATGCACAGTCTTTCCCTCTATGCTCCTAATATGCAAAACATGCATATTGATAAAGCACTCTTGACATAGTAAAACATTTATTGATATATTATTACTGGAGTGTATTTTATAGACTTGTACTTTGATCTGTTTTTGTGCGATAGAGACGACGTAATGTTATGTTTGAAACTGCTCAAGGACTGCTGATAGATATGAGATATTAGCTCAAATCTGGCATAGATCTTCAATTGAAACTACATTTCATTTAACCAGAGGTGGGAAGTAGTAGAGTACAAATACTTTGTTACTGTACTCAAGTTCATTTTTCTGGTATCAGTACTTTACTCCACTTCTTATTTTTCTGATGACCTTTGACTTTCTTACATTTTGAACACAAATACCTGTACTTTCTACTTCTTACATGTTGAACTCAAATACCTGTACTTTCTACTTCTTACATGTTGAACTCAAACACCTGTACTTTCTACTTCTTACATGTTGAACTCAAACACCTGTACTTTCTACTTCTTACACTTTGAACCCAAATACCTGAACTTTCTACTTCTTACATGTTGAACCCAAATACCTGAACTTTCTACTTCTTACATGTTGAACCCAAATACATGTACTTTCTACTTCTTACATGCTGAACACAAATACCTGTACTTTCTACTTCTTACATGTTGAACACAAATACATGTACTTTCTACTTCTTACATTTTGAACTCAAATACCTGTACTTTCTACTTCTTACATTTTGAACTCAAATACCTGTACTTTCTACTTCTTACATTTTGAACTCAAATACCTGTACTTTCTACTTCTTACATGTTGAACACAAATACCTGTACTTTTTACTTCTTACATGCTGAACACAAATACATGTACTTTCTACTTCTTACATGTTGAACTCAAATACCTGTACTTTCTACTTCTCACATGTTGAACACAAATACCTGTACTTTCTACTTCTTACATGTTGAACTCAAATACCTGTACTTTCTACTTCTTACATGCTGAACACAAATACATGTACTTTCTACTTCTCACATGTTGAACACAAATACCTGTACTTTCTACTTCTTACATGTTGAACACAAATACATGTACTTTCTACTTCTTACATGTTGAACTCAAATACCTGTACTTTCTACTTCTTACATTTTGAACACAAATACCTGTACTTTCTACTTCTTACATGTTGAACTCAAATACCTGTACTTTCTACTTCTTACATGTTGAACACAAATACCTGTACTTTCTACTTCTCTCATTTTCCAAACAGCTGGTTCCTTTAGTCTGAATGTGTGTTTGATGCGTGATCATTATTCTTTAGAGTCATTGCGTGCCTATTGATTTGAACACGATCCGTGTATCCATCATTTCCTGGTCTTCTCTAAAGAAGAGGGACCAATGGAAACGTTGTCATGTTGCCGTTGTTCAGCATGGAAACATTCATTAGCTAACAATGACATTATTGTTCTATTAATATAAAGGGAGGTCAGGTACTCTTTAAAGCAGCTGCTAATTATGGGTACTTTTTACTTAAAGGTCCCATGTCATGGCCATTTCTACTGATCATAACTCCATTGTTGAGGTCGACTAGAATAGATTTAAATTGTTCAATGTTCCAAACTCACATTGGTTTCTCATACAGCATCTCTGTATAGTATGTGTATTCACTCTCTGTCCTAAACGGCTTGTTGGAGCTCCTGCCCCCCCCCCTCCCTATGAGCCCACTGTGCTCTGATTGGTCAGCTCGCCCACTCTGTTCTGATGAGTCCACCACCGTTACAGCTGAACATCAGTGATTATGTGTTACAATAGCGTTTGTTAGTAACCAGAAAGTGACACCAGTAATGACGAACAGATGAGAATTCTGCGTGGGGTCTGGGTGCCGTGTTGGCGGGACGTTGCGTGGCTCGCTGCTGTGAGGAGCGGACAGTGTGAGCTGGGTTACTGGGGTAGTTTCCTGGTTGCTGCATGGGGTCTGCGAGACAGCGAGACATCACGAATATCAGCCTGAACTCAGCCTGAGCACCATGGGCGCGGGAAGGGGGGGTGCTGAGGGGGCTGCAGCACCCCCATCTGCGAGGCTCCACTAGCACCCGTACCCACCCCGCACCTCCAAACGCCGTGCACCTACAGTGTAAGCACATCACAGTTTTGCCGCTGAGTGTGTGTGTGTGTGAGGAGCTCCACAAATTGGTCCATTGGGTCGTTGTTACGTCACTTGGTTCCCGGAAGAGTTAAATGGAAAAAGAGAAACCTCCAACGAGGCGTTCTGGGGCAGCACAGACAGGTCTTTTCTGTGTTAGAGTTTTACTCGCTACAGAGTGTACTTTGAGGGTTTGTGACTCTGCAGAAAGGTTACATGCAGAAAAAGCTACATAACACACAAGGGGACGGGTAATAACCGGAAAAACATGACATAGGACCTTTAAGTACATTTCGAAGCCCATACTTCTTTACTTTTACTTGAGTAAAGAAGTTTAGTCAGTACTTCTACTTTTACCAGAGTATAACACCAGTATCTGTACTTCTACTTGAGTAAAGGATGTGTGTACTTTTGCCCTCTCTGATCACAACCCCTCTCTTTCTTCCAGCTGGCGATGGGTGTCATGCAGGTTGGTTTTGTTGTGATGTACCTGTCCGATACTCTGGTGTCCGGCTTCACCACAGCCGCTGCCGTCCACATCCTGGTGTCCCAGCTCAAGTTCATTTTGGGATTAACGGTTCCTGGCATCAGCGGACCTCTCTCTCTCATATATGTAAGTTCAGACCATCTCTCTCTCTCTCTGATCACAGTCAATCTTCAAAGGTTTTAGAAATGGCAATGAAATTCTTCTGACCTGAGCTCATCCAACAATGAAAGCCTTCGAAATCTTTGTGTAGCCTTCACCGAACTTGAGCCTTCCTACAACTTTATCCCAGAGGTCTTTTGAAAGCACTTTTCCAACCATGGTGATTTGTTTGCAGTACCATGCACTACTAGTATTGGAATCCTCTAGAAACAGCTGGTTTTATTCTCAAGTAATCAAAATCACTTAAATTGATGTCAGGTGGGGGACCATTGGCCTGGTGTTTGATCTGGAAGTTGATTGGTTAAACCTGAGCAAGTTTATAATGGTTTACTCCAAGGGGCTGATCACTTAACAAACCGGTTATTTCACTTATACATTTTTATTAATTGTCCAGAATTTATTTTGCTTTGATTATGAGGGTGATAATGTGTACATACAGCTAAAAAAAAAGTAAGATTTAATTTATTTTAATTTCCAGGGTGTAATGTGACAAAAGGTTAAGATTGTCACATGATGACTTTCTATAAGCACTGCATGATAAAATACAAAAAGGTCAGGGAGCATTTCAAAGATTCAAGGCTTTTATTGTCATGTGTACATAGGTACAGTGTAGATATGTCAATGAAAGTCTTAGGTCACCGGCTCCTCCAACAGTGCAACACAATAAAACTGATAAAATACTACAAGAAGAGTCTATATAGCCTACAAGTAATTGGAATATGATAGCAATAGCTCACGACAGGCCGTGGTATATGCTCATTATATCACAGTTAAGGGGCGTGGTTCGGCCCGACGCATATTGTGGCAATATGAAAGAAGAATACACACTCTAATTTAAATAGTTTTTATTAGTAAATAATGATGTTCAAAATAAAATAGTCCCTCCGTTGCCTTCTGCACGAAACATAGTGTGAGGTGGTGTGAGCGAACATATTAGACAGAGAGCGTTGATCGATTATTTGGCTATTTATTTACTTTAATGTGTATGCTGCCGTTTATTGTGCAGCCACTGAAAACCTGTCCAGCATCAGTAGCATGGCTTACGTGGTTACGTGTATAGGTTGAGGTTGTTCTAGGGGCTGTTGATTGGCGTGGCGTGAATATTGCTCCACTTTCTCCGGTCCCCGAGATTCGGCTTCCAGTAGCTCTGGAGAGAGCTTTCGCACCTGTGGCCACTAACAGTCATAATTTCTCTGCTTTGTTTAAAGACCCGCATCAGAAAGCTTTTGAATGGTGGTACTTTTCCAGTTGGTCTACCTGCTCTTCACATAGCTCTGCATGTCGTCGTTTAGGTGCTTTTTCTGGAGATAAACACTGCTCAATCCACTCCTCCACAGTAATATGGGCTCAGAACAGTCTCATAATACACACATGCACACAGAAGGATTCAAACTTGTATTTCATGATCCACACTTGTGTTTTTCAATGCACACACAAATGTGTTCCGTTTCATATACATGTAAATAAAATCCAATTACAGAAAAAGGTTTTACATATGTATTTTTGATCCTCACATATTTGTTTTCCGTTTAAATCCTCTGAACAGCTTTCTGTGCACGGATCGCTGTGCATTCGTGTGTGGGTTTTTTGAGACTCCCCTGACGGTCAGCCGATTCGTACTTGTAATTTTTTCTATCTATAGCCAATCAGATGTCTCCTCCATTCTAAGCCAATCACATCAGCGCGCCCCCACGAGGGTATGATTTCTTGCGTTCATGACGTAGCGCTTCATGTACGCATTTTTAACCTTAACATTTTAACCTTAAATGTTTCCATCTTAAGCTTTGTTAGTTAGTTAGTTTCGTAACGTACGTAACGTACGTAATGTAACAGCTGTAACGGTTGTAGCTTTTTCTCAGACGCGGAGGGATACTGACTTGTGAAAAGTAACTACAATTCTACCTGTAATATACACTCATTATATCACGGCTAAGAACCAATCAGATTGCTTGATTTGACTTGTCCGTTTTATAATAGATAAATAATTGGTAAGTTGCAAATAGATAATTGTTATGGATGTTCTTTCAAAAGTGCAGGTGTTTAACAGTTTTATGGCTATGAGTCCTGCATCTGTTTGACCTGACTTGTTGTTTTTCAGACGCTGGAAATCATATTTAACAAGATCACCTCCACCAATGTGTGTGACGTGGTGATCTCCTTGGTGATCATGGTGGTGGTGTTCATCGTGAAGGAGCTGAACGACAGATTGAAATCCAAGTTGCCGTTTCCCATCCCTATAGAAGTTATCATGGTGAGAAACGTAACGCAACACGATCCTGAAGCATGTCTCTAAAGCAGGGGTGTCCAAACTTTTTTCACCGAGGGCCACATACAGAAACATATACGCTCACTAGGCTAGGCTAGGCTAGGCTAGGCTAGGCTAGGCTAGGCAAGGCAAGGCAAGGCAAGGCAAGGCAAGGCAAGGCAAGGCAAGGCAAGGCAAGGCAAGGCAAGGCAAGGCAAGGCAAGGCAAGGCAAGGCAAGTTTATTTATATAGCACCTTTCAACAAGGCAATTCAAAGTGCTTTACAAAAAGGAAAGACATTAAGAAAATGGCATTTAAAATCAGTCATTAAAAAGAAAAGATAATAAAATAAACATTAAAAGAAAAATACATGATAAAAGTTACAGTGCAGTTTAAGATGTGAATAGTTCAATTAAAAACTAGAGGTATTTTGCCTCATAAGTTAAGTTTTAAGTCAGCAAACTCAATCAAATGATGCTTGTTACTTGAATATGCTTTAAGAACCTAAATCCCAGCTCTCCAGATGGTTTACTTTTGTTAGTTATAAGACGTGTTAGCAGCTCATCCCTTAAAACAGAAGCTTCAGATTGATTATAACAAGAGGAAATATGAAGGGTTTATTTCAAGCTTGCTATGTAAATAAGTCATTGGGCTTTTTTTCTTATCAACTAAGATTATGTTAGAACATGTTTTCAACTTTAATTGACAAAATTGGGCTTATTAACACATGAATACTGTGTAATATATTTGAACATATATATTTAAGAAGCACAATATAAGACAAGCAGAAGTTTATTATACTTAAATCATTACACTTTTTGAATTTGCTGAGGGCCGTTTCAAGATGGTCCGCGGGCCGCATTTGGCCCCCGGGCCGTAGTTTCGACACCCCTGCTCTAAAGCCTGAGGAGTAATAATGATACCGCTACTGTTTATCATTAATCAGATCTATGACGTTCTTTTATGACCCGTGTCATTTCAAGGTAAACTACTCACTAACTAACTGTAAGGAGTTAATAAAAAGTGTCCTGATAATTTCTGTGTTTGTCTCGTTCAGACGGTCATCGCATGTGGAGTTTCATACGCGTTTGACTTCAAGACAAGATTTGGCATTGAAGTTGTCGGCTTTATTCCACAAGGGTAAGATTTTTGATTAATTAATTGATTGATTGTGCTGCAGCACAGGCGGTGTGCGAGATATAAAGAGCTTTTTGAACATTAAAGCATGTTACAGTAGAGACACTAAATACTAATATGAACCTGAAAATGAGCAGAATATGTCCTCATTAAAGATCACCTATTATGCAAAATCCTCTTCTTCATGTCTCTTCTACATCAACATGTGTCCCCTCTTCTTCATGTCTCTTCTACATCAACATGTGTCCCCTCTTCTTCATGTCTCTTATACATCAACATGTGTCCCCTCTTCTTCATGTCTCTTCTACATCAACATGTGTCCCCTCTTCTTCACGTCTCTTCTACATCAACATGTGTCCCCTCTTCTTCATGTCTCCTCTACATCAACATGTGTCCCCTCTTCTTCATGTCTCTTCGACATCAACATGTGTCCCCTCTTCTTCATGTCTCTTCTACATCAACATGTGTCCCCTCTTCTTGATGTCTCTTCTACATCAACATGTGTCCCCTCTTCTTCATGTCTCTTCTACATCAACATGTGTCCCCTCTTCTTCATGTCTCTTCGACATCAACATGTGTCCCCTCTTCTTCATGTCTCTTCTACATCAACATGTGTCCCCTCTTCTTCACGTCTCTTCTACATCAACATGTGTCCCCTCTTCTTCATGTCTCCTCTACATCAACATGTGTCCCCTCTTCTTCATGTCTCTTCGACATCAACATGTGTCCCCTCTTCTTCATGTCTCTTCTACATCAACATGTGTCCCCTCTTCTTGATGTCTCTTCTACATCAACATGTGTCCCCTCTTCTTCATGTCTCTTCTACATCAACATGTGTCCCCTCTTCTTCATGTCTCTTCTACATCAACATGTGTCCCCCTCTTCTTCATGTCTCTTCTACATCAACATGTGTCCCCCTCTTCTTCATGTCTCTTCTACATCAACATGTGTCCCCTCTTCTTCATGTCTCTTCTTCATCAACATGTGTCCCCTCTTCTTCATGTCTCTTCTACATCAACATGTGTCCCCTCTTCTTCATGTCTCTTCTACATCAACATGTGTCCTCTCTTCTTCATGTCTCTTCTACATCAACATGTGTCCCCTCTTCTTCATGTCTCTTCTACATCACCATGTGTCCCCTCTTCTTCATGTCTCTTCTACATCAACATGTGTCCCCTCTTCTTCATGTCTCTTCTACATCAACATGTGTCCCCTCTTCTTCATGTCTCTTCTACATCAACATGTGTCCCCTCTGTGGAAAGAGACTCTGAAAGTTTCAGGAACAAAGATTCTCTCTCTTTTTGATCCATTTCTATAAAAACCTGTCTGAAAATGAGCTGATCAGATTTTGGCCACGTTATGATGTCATAACGATGTTTTGTCTTGTGTAACCATTAGCCAATCAGGAACCAAGGTAACCCCCCCCCCCTTATCACCTGAATCTCCTCCTAGAGCACCATTGAGTTCTTTGTAACCAAATCTCTCTCAGAGGGGCGTGGGGAGGGGCTCCTTATTTTCATCTGTAGTAACAGACATAGAATCAGCACTTTTGAAACAGGGCTGAAACAGAGGGGATTATGGGTAATGCTGCAATGATGTGTTTGGTGTTTCAGCCAATCCGAGACATGTTCTGTATATATCTGAGAGCTATAATATATCGATGAAAAACAGTATAATAGGGGACCTTTAACATTAGGGTATATATCTGTCTTCAGGTACGAGCCTCCGATGGCCCCAGACCTGGACATCTTCCAGGAGACGGCAGTTGAAGCTTTTCCAATGGCCATCGTGGGATTCGCTGTTGCCTTCTCCGTGGCAAAAGTGTATTCTGTAAAACATGACTACACCATAGATGGAAACCAGGTGTGTGATAATGCTGACATGTACACAACGTTGGGAGGAAGTACTCAGATCCTTTACTGAAAGTACAAATACCTTTGTCTTAAAACACTTGAGTAAATGTACTTGGTTACTTTCCACCACGTACATCTACATCACAGTAAAAGCTACAGGTCTAATCAGGGTTTAAATAAAAATACGTGTTTTTCTGTAGGAGCTGATCGCTTTCGGAGCCAGCAACATCTTCGGAGCTTCTTTCAAGTCTTTTGCTGCGAGTACAGCTCTGTCCAGGAGCGCAGTGCAGGAGAGCACAGGCGGCAAAACACAGGTAAAATAATATATAATAATATACTTTTAATTCACGTAGATTCTAACCCTTGAAAAGATTCAAATCTGAGACAAAATCCATCAAGTTTGAGCCATGGTGATCCCATGTTTTGTTGCATCAAAGTACTTTGTAGCATAGTAAGATATTTGGGGGGAAATTTGGAAATATTGAGTTGCTTTCATGTCAAGAGTTCAGTTGAGTGTTACTTATTATTAAAATATGTAACTTTAGCAAGAACCAGCAGCCAGTTAGCTGATCTTAGCACAAAGACTGCAAACAGAACAATGTAGTTTGACTTTTCTTTACAAATTAGACAAACTAAATTAAACGTGTGGATTAGCGAGCTTTAGAGGTGCTGTCAGGTGGACTTTGTTAGCTTCAGAGAGAGCCAGACTTGTTGTTTGAACAATGTTTTTTAAATTATAACTCATTAATTGTGCTTTATTTCACTAAAACACATTTTAACTTAAGTCGAGGTATGTTACATTACATGTCACTAGACGCTTTTATCCAAAGCGAGGAGCAATTTGGGGTGACTGTCCTCAGGGACACAACGACATGCTGACTGCAGTGGGGTTCGAACCTGTGACCCCGATCTGAACAACAGCGCACAACCCACTGCACCACACGCCTCCTTGTTCAGAACAAGTTCAAAATCGTTCAGTTGTCTCAGAGTGGCGTGGAAACCTGTTCGCATGAGTTGAAGGGTTTCGAGTTAAGCTACATTTAGCATGATGGGAAAAGCCTATTAACGTTGGTTTTCTCCCGATGTTACCGAGAACCAAAAATGAAGATAATTTGCTTCACTTCTGCTAATAATCTCACAGGGTTGAAACCTGAGAGAAAACCTTCTTACAGAATAACTACATATTGTATTTGCTATTTTTCTGCTTGGGGTTTCCATACACCTCAACTCCATTGAAGCACACTGTATTCAACATGTGTGGCACCGAGGGAAGATTGTGGTTATTAAAATATGTCACTTTGGCAGGAACACACAGCCAGTTAACGTAGCTTAGCACAAAGACTCAAACCTTTTTTCATGAATTAATTTGAAAGTGTTAAAGGTCCCATGTCATGGCCATTTCCACTGATCATAATTCCATTGTTGAGGTCTACTGGAATAGATTTATACTGTGCAATTTTCCAAACTCACATTGGTTTCGCATACAGCATCTCTGTATAGTATGTGTATTCAGCAGTATTCACTCTCTCCACTAAACGGCTCGTTGTAGCTCTTGCCCCCCCCTCCCTGTGAGCCCAGTGTGCTCCGATTGGTCGGGACCAGTCGGGACGTTGTGAATCGCGCTGAGCTCCGTGGAGGTGTGATTTCCTTGTTTAGCGATACACAGCGAAACACAGCCAAACTCACGCTGAGCACACACAAAGTCACAGCCGAAGTAAAAACAATAAGTGTGGCTTGATATTGAGAAAGAAAAAGGTTGATAAACGCTGTGAGAATGGGTCTGCAGAGAGAACGGGTCTGCAGAGAGAATGGGTCTGTAGAGAGAATGGGTCTGTAGAGAGAATGGGTCTGCAGAGAGAATGGGTCTGCAGAGAGAATGGGTCTGCAGAGAGAATGGGTCTGCAGAGAGAATGGGTCTGCAGAGAGAATGGGTCTGTAGAGAGAATGGGTCTGTAGAGAGAATGGGTCTGTAGAGAGAATGGGTCTGCAGAGAGAACGGGTCTGCAGAGAGAATGGGTCTGCAGAGAGAATGGGTCTGCAGAGAGAATGGGTCTGTAGAGAGAATGGGTCTGCAGAGAGAATGGGTCTGTAGAGAGAATGGGTCTGCAGAGAGAATGGGTCTGTAGAGAGAATGGGTCTGTAGAGAGAATGGGTCTGTAGAGAGAATGGGTCTGCAGAGAGAACGGGTCTGTAGAGAGAACGGGTCTGTAGAGAGAATGGGTCTGCAGAGAGAATGGGTCTGCAGAGAGAATGGGTCTGCAGAGAGAACGGGTCTGCAGAGAGAATGGGTCTGTAGAGAGAATGGGTCTGCAGAGAGAACGGGTCTGTAGAGAGAATGGGTCTGTAGAGAGAATGGGTCTGCAGAGAGAATGGGTCTGCAGAGAGAATGGGTCTGCAGAGAGAACGGGTCTGCAGAGAGAACGGGTCTGCAGAGAGAACGGGTCTGCAGAGAGAATTTCGCCGCGATCCCAACTGTCTGTTATCAGCCTGCAGCAGGGAGGAGAGATCAGCAGAGCTGCATGCACTGAGTGTGAGAGGAAGTCCGTGGATTGGTCAATTTGGACCAATCAGCGGGGGCTTAACGTAACGGCTCCGCGGATATAACGTAACGGCTCCACGGATTGGTCCATTTCGTTCCGGGTACGGATGACATCATGCGTACCACAAATGGACAGTGACGTATCTCCAATGAGGCGTTTTGGGGAGGTATTTTCTGTGTTAGAGTTTTACTCGCTACAGGGTGTACTTTGAGGGTTTTGACTCTGCACACCGTTCATGCATACAAACCTTCAAGGGGACGGGTACTAACCGGAAAAGCATGACATGGGCCCTTTAACTACCGATCTTTTGGATGTGCTGGTTATGTGGACTGAAACCAACATCTTGCAGCATAACTACATCTTGTATTTTACATTTTTCTGCTTGGGTTTTCCGCACACCTAATCTCCATTGAAGCATTCAACACACATGGCACAGAGAGTGTTACAGCCATATACCTGTCCTGTCCTTTTCAGATAGCAGGTTTACTGTCAGCTATTATCGTGATGATCGTCACATTGGCCGTTGGTTTTCTCCTAGAGCCGCTCCCAAAGGTAAACCGTCTCAATCTACCGACATGCAGGTGAAGTCTCTGGAGTCTAAACTCAGTGAAATATAACCTTTGACCTCTTATTTTACCAGTCTGTGCTTGGAGCTGTGGTCATCGTCAACCTGAAGGGCATGTTGATGCAGGTTAGAGACGTCCCTTACCTGTGGAGGAGGGACAAACCAGACTGTGTAAGTACTCACAAAGACACACACCATGGTACAGATACAGTATCACTGTTATATGCAAATATATATATATATATATATATATATAATATAATCAGAAAGTACAATATATAATAGTTATTATCAACAAAGCATAAGAAGAGAGTCCAATTAGAAGCCTACAATATATTCACTTTGCCAAATATCTTAACAGGTGACCATTTCTCTAAATACAATTCCATCTTGGGTGTGGTGGCGAAGTCGATAGGGACTTGGCTTGGCAACTGGAAGGTCACCAGTTCAAGTCCCGGAAAGACCAAGTGCTACCGAGGTGTCCCTGAGCAAGGCACCGTTCCCTACACTGCTCCCCGGGTGCCGTACATAACGGCAGCCCACTGCTCCTAACACTAGGATGGGTCAAATGCAGAGGAACCGTTTTGTTACATAGTACCTGTACTACGTAATGACAATACATTTAATCTAATCTTGAGTTGTAGTTTCGTTGTTATAATTTACAACCTTAAGTCTTTGTGTCCATTGGTTTAAACAAACACTTTTTTTGTACAAAACAACCAACAATAAATAACTTTTACAACGACAATAAATAACAAGCATGAGTTAACAGGTCCGGCTCAGAACCATTCAGGGTTTGGTTTCTAAATAAGAGTTTTAGTTTAGATCAACTTAAATATTTCAGCTCATCATTACAGTTATTCCACAGACCTTTTGTTGAGATGCAATGAAGTTTGGAATTTGTCCGTAGGGATGTTTTTTTTTAATGCCGTTTCCTCTCAACATGTGTATGTGTTCTCTGCGTGTGAAAAGTCCCTGGACATTATGAGGTAATTATTGATTTGCGGTTTTGAACTTAACCATCCTCTCCATCAGGTGGTGTGGTTAGCTACCTGTATTGCATCCATCTTTTTGGGGCTGGACCTCGGGTTGGCTGTAGGTCTCGGGGTGGAGCTGATCAGCGTGGTGCTCAGGGCTCAGTTGTAAGTATCTGGATGCTTTCATTTTGATCTTACACACTCCCCCCCTGGATAAAGACTGCAGGTAGAAATTAGCCATTAGCAAAAAATCTGGCATAATTAATCTCTTTTCTGAGATGAATGTATTTGTATGCATGGTCCTTGTTGAAATAAATACATAATAACATATACCCAGTGACTGGCTGATGAGTGACCCCTTTATTATTCTAAATGTCCATAACGGTCTATTATATATATTGATATTTATCTGTCGCTAGTGTCTGTATATTTCTATACTCTCCAGAGACCCACCCATTCATTTTTGTCCTCTGTGGTGCACATTGGTTTTTGGTCCATTACTTTGAGGTTATACATGCCACAGCATTAAGTCCTGTATTCCTGGGCTTTTCAAACATATGACACATGTGGGGGTGTGGCTTTGAAAAAGATATTTTCATTGTATTTCAAAATGGCGTCCATCAACACAAGCACTATTCGTAGAAAGAGAAATGGTAATGGTTTGTAATTACCAGTGTTGTGAGTTCAATATTTTTAATTAATTATAGTAAGGGAACAGCTTAGGAGTTAGTGTAGTGAGTTTTCAGAACAGTGTAATTTGATCTAAAACTAATTGTGTTTATGAATCTCCTCTGAGCAGGACATGGGGATTTGCTAACTTTTTATCACAAAACACAAATGGAGTCCACTATGGGCCAAACTAACACGTAGGTTTCTGTAGGGTTCATGGCAGACGGATGCAGTTGGAACACATACATCAAGTGCCTCAAGTCAATCAGGAGAGACGGTTTTGATGCATATTTATTGCAGAGATACACAAATGAATGTAACGGTGATTTTGGCAATTGGGCCCCGTTGTGCAGGAAGTATCATTCGGGAGGGGAGAACCGATCCGATGAAACCCCCCGGGGTCTAGACACTGGTGGTGGTGAATGGATAGTTCGGTCGGTCTGAAGGGGAGGGGCTTAGCTTGACCCTGGATTCAGAGGGACAGGAGGTGAAAAGGGGGGGAGGAGGGTTGCGTCGAGTAACCTGAAATGACAGCTGTCAGAGGGGGGAGAGCAGACTTAAAAGGTTTGGCAGAGCGCTATGATAGGCTCTTGAGAATAGAGCGAAGTGATTGGTTAAGCTGGAGAGTGACGCCCCCGATCACTTATTGAGAGGAGAGAGAGAGTAGTTACATGGGAATAGTAAATGAAGAGTAAAGACGGTCTTCCTGGTTGAACTTACGCTGAGCTTCAAGTGTCAGATGTATCTCTGCATTTCAAAAAAGGATGGAGTACTACAAATGAGGGCTCAGTACTTGTTAGTCATTATGTTAATATCACCCTAAAGACTTGTGTGATAAAAAAAAGCGCTTTTCTTTCTGGGTCTCAGGAGGATATTAAAGCGTCTTTGAGCATTAGGAAAAGCGCTATAAAAATCCCATTTTTTATTATTATTATTATTATTATGACTGATCTATAGTGTAGTCAATTGCTATACTCCTTATAGTGTCCATGGTGTAAATACATCAGTTTGAAAATATACAGTATATACACATGTGACGATATAAACATAGTATATTATACTTGAATAACACTTTCTGCTTGTTGTACATTTCTGGTTAGATGCTAATTCGTTGTCTTAGTACTTGTACTCTGGCAATGACAATAACATTGAATCTAATTTAATCTGATCCAAACATTTGTTATATAGAATACACTTTGATATATGGCAGCATGCTCTGTTTGATAAATGTCTGTTTCAAGAAAGTCCATAGTGCTGCAATTATCGAATACAAAAACGTTATTCATTTTTATTTATTTTCAGCCCTCGCTGCAGTGTGCTGGCAAACATCAAAGGAACTGATATCTACAGAGACAGAAAGGACTATATTGATGTAAGTAACACAAGTTAAAGAGGCCCTGTCTTTTCCATTTACTGTAGTGTGTTATATAGGTTTGTGTGCATGTAAATGGTCTGCAAAGGCTAAAATCCTAAAAACTCTCTGCAGATATATGAGCCGGAGGGAGTGAAGATCTTCAGGATACCGTCACCAATCTTTTTTGCCAACATTGACTTCTTCAGGACCAAATTAGTGGAAGCTGTAAGTACAAAATATGGATGTATTTTCTCTTTTTTTGGCAGAAAAACTCAAATTAATATCTGAAACTTAACAATTTGTGTTTGTCCCACACATCTCATTCACACTAATGTCTCCTCAGGTTGGATTTAACCCGTTGAGAGTGTTGCGAAAGAGAAACAAAGCGGTGAGGATGATCCGGAAGCTTCTTAAGAAGGGAGACCTTCAGTGGACATCAGTAAGTAATGGCTTGGACCTCAGTGACAACAACAACACACTTTCACAATCGCCAATGGCTCAGTATATCCTTTTTTTTTTTTTACACTGTCATGGTTTACCCTACCTGCTTTGGTTTGAAATCTGTTCAGGTTTAGCAGTGATTAAATACATTTTATGACACAATAATGGACCTTAAACCTGCATTTTTTCAAATATCCAGCATTGGTTCAAGTCCAATTGTATAGAAGTCTATGACAAAATAACCCCATACTGTATCTGTCTTTATCTATTACCTCAGTAAATATTTTCCTAAGGGGGTTTCTGGTCTTAATCTCAAGTTCTGAGTCTTTTGTAAAACATCATGATATTTTTTTCTTTTTAAATGGTCCTATATTGAGTGAAATAAATTATTTATCGCGGTAGGCTTTAGGGCGGGGCTTCCTTATGATTGACAGGTGGCTGCCAAAGACTCTTGGATTCAGCTGCTCTTATTTTTTCACTAGACAAAACCACTGATTGCTAACTCACCCATCAAAGTGCTCCATTCAGCTATTTTAATGACTACAAAGTGCATGAACAGTGTCTTACCGTTACAGAAAGGCTTCACAAATGCGTCCTGTAGACCCCTCAAAGAGTCGGAGGATGAGAGCAACATTGAGGAGTTGGACCTGCCGACCGACTTTAAGGATCTTCCCACTCGGATCGACTGGAACGCCGATCTTCCCGCAAACATCAGCGTTCCCAGAGTGGATCTCCACAGCCTGATCCTGGACTTCGCTGCTGTCTCCTTCCTGGACATCTCCGCTCTGAAGGGACTCAAAACGGTGAGTTGCAGTTATTTCAATGGGCCCTACTTTAGTTTTTTTTGTGCATGTAAATGGTCTGCAAACACCTCCATTGGACTCCTTTGTTTACCCCCGTAACATAGTGACATCACTAAGTAAATAAGAGCTTTTTTAACATTAAACCATGGAGACATGTCACAGTAGAGACACTACTAATTACACCTGAACATCAGCAGGAGAGGACTCTTTAAAGTAGAGACACTACATACTGATATACACCTAAACATCAGCAGGAGAGGACTCTTTAAAGTAGAGACACTACTAAATACACCTGAACATCAGCAGGAGAGGACTCTTTAAAGTAGAGACACTACATACTGAAATACACCTGAACATCAGCAGGAGAGGACTCTTTAAAGTAGAGACACTACTAAATACACCTGAACATCAGCAGGAGAGGACTCTTTAAAGTAGAGACACTACATACTGATATACACCTGAACATCAGCAGGAGAGGACTCTTTAAAGTAGAGACACTACTAAATACACCTGAACATCAGCAGGAGAGGACTCTTTAAAGTAGAGACACTACATACTGATATACACCTGAACATCAGCAGGAGAGGACTCTTTAAAGTAGAGACACTACATACTGATATACACTTGAACATCAGCAGGAGAGGACTCTTTAAAGTAGAGACACTACATACTGATATACACCTGAACATCAGCAGGAGAGGACTCTTTAAAGTAGAGACACTACATACTGATATACACCTGAACATCAGCAGGAGAGGACTCTTTAAAGTAGAGACACTACATACTGAAATACACCTGAACATCAGCAGGAGAGGACTCTTTAAAGTAGAGACACTACTAAATACACCTGAACATCAGCAGGAGAGGACTCTTTAAAGTAGAGACACTACATACTGATATACACCTGAACATCAGCAGGAGAGGACTCTTTAAAGTAGAGACACTACTAAATACACCTGAACATCAGCAGGAGAGGACTCTTTAAAGTAGAGACACTACATACTGATATACACCTGAACATCAGCAGGAGAGGACTCTTTAAAGTAGAGACACTACAAACTGATATACACTTGAACATCAGCAGGAGAGGACTCTTTAAAGTAGAGACACTACATACTGATATACACCTAAACATCAGCAGGAGAGGACTCTTTAAAGTAGAGACACTACATACTGATATACACCTGACCATCAGCAGGAGAGGACTCTTTAAAGTAGAGACACTACATACTGATATACACCTGAACATCAGCAGGAGAGGACTCTTTAAAGTAGAGACACTACATACTGATATACACCTGAACATCAGCAGGAGAGGACTCTTTAAAGTAGAGGCACTACATACTGATATACACCTGAACATCAGCAGGAGAGGACTCTTTAAAGTAGAGACACTACATACTGATATACACCTGAACATCAGCAGGAGAGGACTCTTTAAAGTAGAGACACTACATACTTATATACACCTGAACATCAGCAGAGAGGACTCTTTAAAGTAGAGACACTACATACTGATATACACCTGAACATCAGCAGGAGAGGACTCTTTAAAGTAGAGACACTACATACTGATATACACCTGAACATCAGCAGGAGAGGACTCTTTAAAGTAGAGACACTACATACTGATATACACCTGAACATCAGCAGGAGAGGACTCTTTAAAGTAGAGACACTACATACTGATATACACCTGAACATCAGCAGGAGAGGACTCTTTAAAGTAGAGACACTACATACTGATATACACCTGAACATCAGCAGGAGAGGACTCTTTAAAGTAGAGACACTACATACTGATATACACCTGAACATCAGCAGGAGAGGACTCTTTAAAGTAGAGGCACTACATACTGATATACACCTGAACATCAGCAGGAGAGGACTCTTTAAAGTAGAGGCACTACATACTGATATACACCTGAACATCAGCAGGAGAGGACTCTTTAAAGTAGAGGCACTACATACTGATATACACCTGAACATCAGCAGGAGAGGACTCTTTAAAGTAGAGACACTACATACTGATATACACCTGGACATCAGCAGGAGAGGACTCTTTAAAGTAGAGACACTACATACTGATATACACCTGAACATCAGCAAGAGAGGACTCTTTAAAGTAGAGACACTACATACTGATATACACCTGAACATCAGCAGGAGAGGACTCTTTAAAGTAGAGACACTACATACTGATATACACGTGAACATCAGCAGGAGAGGACTCTTTAAAGTAGAGACACTACATACTGATATACACCTGAACATCAGCAGAAGAGGACTCTTTAAAGTAGAGACACTACATACTGATATACACCTGGACATCAGCAGGAGAGGACTCTTTAAAGTAGAGACACTACATACTGATATACATCTGAACCTCAGCAGGAGAGCACTCTTTAAATACATTTAAAAAATAAATCTTCTTGACCTTCCCTTCAGACGCTGAAAGAGCTGATTCGGGTTGAAGTCGAGATCTACATTGTGGCTTGTGATAGTAAGTATTAAACTGCAGTTTTTAAAGTCATTGCAATTGTTAATTTAACTTCTAGCAGACACTTAAACACACGTTTATTGTGTGTATCTTCACAATAAAGTATCTTCATGTGTTTCTAATAAACTCTAAATGTATAATTATTGCACACTTCACTTTTCCAGTTCCTTACAAAATGTAACAAATGTATAACCTCAAATATTTTCTACCGCAAGTTGCTTATGCATTAATTGTCCTGCCCAACAATGCACTCCAACCGATGCATCTGTATTCCTTACTTGGTTATGTCTGGTATCAAAATGCAATTAAAGAAACAATTTGAACTGGAAAAGATTGATTTAAGGAACATTTCTTTTGAACTGATACAAGCTTTTTAGGAGCGTGTTGCTTTTAGAAGAGATAGATAGATAGATCTTTAATTTTGTCATTGTACAGGTACAACGAAATTACAATAAACTCAAGGTGCCAACACGCAACAACAAGACACTATAAAAACAATAAAAACAATAAATGGGACTTAAAATAGACATGATAGGGAATATGTACATAAATAAATAATAAATTAATTAAATTGCACGATTCCCCTCATATTGCACAGAAGGCTTATATAACTTAAATATTAGCGTTTAGTGCACATATGGCCCTGGGGAAAAAACTGAACTTGAGTCTGTTTGTCCGGGAAGACATGGTACGGAAGCACCTGCCTGAGCGCAGCCGTACGAAGTGCTCGTTACCCGGGTGGTTAGGGTCCTTGAGGATTTTGACTGCCTTCTTAAGGCAACGAGAGCTGTACAGTACCTCCAGGGAGGGGAGGGGGCAAGATAGTGGCCAACATGCAGGACTGATATAATCCTTAGTGTCATATATTCTGTTAGTGCTTTGACTAACCTCTTCCCTCTTTCTTCCCTGCAGCTTACATCCTTCAGAAACTCCACGACTGTTCCTTCTTTGATGATGAAGTTCTCCCGTCGATGTTCTTCCTGACGCTGCATGACGCCATGCTGCACATCCTCCAGAAACATCCAGAGTCCACGGAAGAGAAGTCTCACTACGACAAGGTGAGGAAGACACATTGAATTTGTTTGTTTCCGTTAACCGTCAAGTGGGAAATAAGTATTTTTTGTGTGTGTTTCTCTTAGTATCCTAAGATACTGTTATGTTTGGCTGTGAAAAAAAAAAAATAATTATTATGATTATGAAGGGCAGACCATCTATTTGTATTTATTTGTTTTTTTTAGAAAGGGGCAGGTCACATAAGATGTTATTCTTCTCCCTGCTCCTTTTCGCTCAATGGTAGAGTCATGTTTTGTGGCAATTATTGTACATTTGGTTTTGCGTACCATGAGCGGGACAAATACAAATGAAATGAAGTTAAAACAAAGCGCTGGGCATACAGAATATACTCACCTCTTTATGTTGCTCTGCAGATAATAACATCAGTCACAATTCATCACCCTGGAGGCAGCTTGAGGAGCAGAGATCGACACGTACGTATCTGTTTTTGTAACCATTTCCTTTTATGTATTGGTTTATTTTAACTAAACACACCTGAGTCCCATCTCGATTAGACAGAGCAAGGGCGTTGACTGCCTTTTTGTTTTAAAGACTGCTACACTACCAATAGCTTATGTTTTTTCCCATTCACTCGCAAAGAGTAGAAGTCAATGGGAGGCGAATGTACATTTTGCACAAGTGTGAACATGACTTAAAAACCAGGCTTGGAGAGTAACGGATTACAAATAACTGGATCATGTAGTCAGGGTACAAACACTGTATTATCTTACAGTTACATAAAAGAGAGATTACAACATTGGGGATTACTGGCAGGATTACAATGATATGTCGTAAAGCACATGCATACATTTAAAACAAGTTAAACAAGTCTCAAGTGAAACTGTAGTTCATCTTGTGGTTCATCATTATGACCTCTACTTCAAAGTGGAAATGTCTCCACCTACTGCAAGTTTGAAACAAAAACTGAGCTTTGATTAAATGTTCTCTTACTGTTAGCCAACAGACCACTTCCTGAATATGCTTAATAGAAAGCAGGTTTTTCTAAAAAGCAAAAACAAAGACAAACTGAGCAGAGGACACATTTTTGATAATAAATATGTTGTTCTCTTGTCTTAAAGAAGTATTGATATGTATTTTCACTTGTATTCATCTGCATTGCATTTGATATTGAGGTAATCCAAAAGCGTTACATTGCTTTTATATTTTGATACTCAAATGTACTTTAATAGTTACTGATTACAGTAATTAGTAATTGTATAAAGAAACCCTCCCAAACCTGATTGAGACAAACAGTAAACTTAAGGTCCCATGTCATGGCCATTTCTACTGATCATAATTCCATTGTTGAGGTCGACTAGATTTATATTGTTCAATGTTCCAAACTCACATTGGTTTCTCATCCAGCATCTCTGTAAAGTATGTGTATTCAATCTCTGTCCTAAACGGCTTGTTGGAGCTCCTGCCCCCCCCCTCCCTGTGAGCCCAGTGGCCGTCTGCGAGACAGCGAAACCCAGCTTGAAACCAGCCCGAGCACACACGCACACCCGCAGCCTGGCTGGGAGTTTGTGTGTGTGCTCACACACCGACTCCCAGCCTCGCCGCGTCCCGCCGTCTCAGGGAGGAGAAATCGGCAGAGCTGCAGCTGATAAAAGATTGAGTGTGTGTGTGAGGAAGTCCGCGGATTGGTCCATTTGGACCAATTCATGGACTTAACCTAACGGCTCCACGGATTGGTCCATTTGGACGGATTGGTCCATTTGGGTATGGGCACGCCACTGTACCCGGGAAGAAAACAATGGAAAAAAAGAGAAATGTCCAACGAGGCGTTCTGGGGCAGCACAGACAGGTCTTCTCTGTGTTAGAGTTTTACTCGCTACAGGGTGTACTTTGAGGGTTTGTGACTCTGCAGACCGTTTACATGCAGAACAACCTTCATAACACAAGGGGACGGGTGATAACCAGAAAAGCATGACATGGGACCTTTAATAATGGTTAATAGTGAGTTAAATGAATGATAAAAGCTTGTTAGTAAAGTCCTATCGATCTGCTACATCCGATTTGAAAATGGGAAAACTAGCAGGTGATAGAGTATTTGTATCGCTCCGAGTTCAGGAAATGAGGATGCCAGCAAGCAAAAACAACAATTGCAAAAATATTCCTGTATTCTGAAAATGTATAAATATAATGCTAAGCTATGATGGCTAATTGTCTTAGCACATAGCTTCTTCCTATGTGTTTTAGAATAAAATGTCCTACTCCACCCACAGGCTCCAGAGACCAAGTTCTAACTTCTGAACGAGAAGAGGATTCCTTGGAGAAAACACCAACAAAAAAAAGACCAAAGAGTAAATGTTTTACAAATCAAGCTGTACAAAACACTGATGTAACGACACACTGTCTTTGACGTTATACCTTCGATGATCTGAGTTTACATATACAGTGTTTACTGTAGTGTAGGAAAACTAATTTCATGGTATTGATGGTTTTTTTATACTGTATAGTGAATTTGTAGAAAATGTAGGTGCAATATATATGTTTTTTAGTATTTCCTTGATAATGAGAATGAACTGACTTCTCGGCACACGGGGAGCAAAGCAATGTGAAAAAGTGAATGAATGTGCAGCGACTAAATATTGTATCTCTCTAAATTATCCCAATCAATGTTTCTGTGTGTGTTTTGTAAAATATTAATTCCCCAAATGTCCACCTTGTTTTGGGAGCTACCCTGATACTGTTCAAAGATACAGTACATTTACTCAAGTCCTGTACTTAAGTATAATTTTGGGGGTACTTGTACTTTGAGTATTTCCATTTTTTGCTACTTCTACTCTACTACATGTATTTGACACTTGTCACTTTGTACATGAATAACATGTTGTTGTACTTATATGATATACATTTCCTACTGCTGTTCTACACAACATGTGCTCTATAATGACGAGTTATATCTCATCTTATAATCATACAAAAAGTCTTTCTGACAATGAGTACTTTTACTTTCGGTACATTTAGCTGATTATACTTCTATACTTTTACTTAAGTAGAGGATTCAAGTACTTTTTTCCCACTAGTACACAGTAATATAATACAAAACACAACATTGACCTTATATCACCTCCACAAAGTTTCAACACTTTTTTTAAATATAGGTAACCAACCTCAAGTGTCTCTTGCCTTCATAATGATTATGGATTCAATGAACTTACCCAACAGAAACATACTTAAAGAGGCCCTATTCTGCTTTTTGGAGATTTCCCTTTCCTTTAATTTAGCACTCTAGCGCTCCAACACATTGTATGTGATAGGCTAAGAGGCGGGAAATCTCTAAGCGGTTGACCAATCACAACAGAGCCGGCCAGCTAACCAATCAGAGCAGACTGGGCTCTGGTTTCAGACAGAGGGTGAAAAGAGGTGCTGCAGCACAGACAGGATGAGAACAATAAAGAGCTTTTTGAACATTAAAGAATGGAGACACTACATACTGATATACACCTGAACATCAGCAGGAGAGGACTCTTTAAAGTAGAGACACTACATACTGATATACACCTGAACATCAGCAGGAGAGGACTCTTTAAAGTAGAGACACCACATACTGATATACAGCTGAACATCAGCAGGAGAGGACTCTTTAAAGTAGAGACACTACATACTGATATACACCTGAACATCAGCAGGAGAGGACTCTTTAAAGTAGAGACACTACATACTGATATACACCTGAACATCAGCAGGAGAGGACTCTTTAAAGTAGAGACACCACATACTGATATACAGCTGAACATCAGCAGGGGAGGACTCTTTAAAGTAGAGACACTACATACTGATATACACCTGAACATCAGCAGGAGAGGACTCTTTAAAGTAGAGACACTACATACTGATATACACCTGAACATCAGCAGGAGAGGACTCTTAAAGTAGAGACACTACATACTGATATACACCTGAACATCAGCAGGAGAGGACTCTTTAAAGTAGAGACACCACATACTGATATACAGCTGAACATCAGCAGGGGAGGACTCTTTAAAGTAGAGACACTACATACTGATATACACCTGAACATCAGCAGGAGAGAACTCTTTAAAGTAGAGACACTACATACTGATATACACCTGAACATCAGCAGGAGAGGACTCTTTAAAGTAGAGACACTACATACTGATATACACCTGAACATCAGCAGGAGAGGACTCTTTAAAGTAGAGACACTACATACTGATATACACCTGAACATCAGCAGGAGAGGACTCTTTAAAGTAGAGACACTACATACTGATATACACCTGAACATCAGCAGGAGAGGACTCTTTAAAGTAGAGACACCACATACTGATATACAGCTGAACATCAGCAGGGGAGGACTCTTTAAAGTAGAGACACTACATACTGATATACACCTGAACATCAGCAGGAGAGGACTCTTTAAAGTAGAGACACTACATACTGATATACACCTGAACATCAGCAGGAGAGGACTCTTTAAAGTAGAGACACTACATACTGATATACACCTGAACATCAGCAGGAGAGGACTCTTTAAAGTAGAGACACCACATACTGATATACAGCTGAACATCAGCAGGGGAGGACTCTTTAAAGTAGAGACACTACATACTGATATACACCTGAACATCAGCAGGAGAGAACTCTTTAAAGTAGAGACACTACATACTGATATACACCTGAACATCAGCAGGAGAGGACTCTTTAAAGTAGAGACACTACATACTGATATACACCTGAACATCAGCAGGAGAGGACTCTTTAAAGTAGAGACACTACATACTGATATACACCTGAACATCAGCAGGAGAGGACTCTTTAAAGTAGAGACACTACATACTGATATACACCTGAACATCAGCAGGAGAGGACTCTTTAAAGTAGAGACACCACATACTGATATACAGCTGAACATCAGCAGGGGAGGACTCTTTAAAGTAGAGACACTACATACTGATATACACCTGAACATCAGCAGGAGAGGACTCTTTAAAGTAGAGACTCTACATACTGATATACACCTGAACATCATCAGGAGAGGACTCTTTAAAGTAGAGACACTACATACTGATATACACCTGAACATCAGCAAGAGAGGACTCTTTAAAGTAGAGACACTACATACTGATATACACCTGAACATCAGCAGGAGAGGACTCTTTAAAGTAGAGACATACTGATATACACCTGAACATCAGCAGGAGAGGACTCTTTAAAGTAGAGACACTAAATACTAATATGACCCTGAAAATGAGCAGAATATATCCTCTTTAATTTTTCTTCAATTAAAAGTATTATTTCAAATATAAATTGCTCACTGATACTAAGCCAAAAACAAATCTCAACATGTGGAAAAAAATACCTTGTGCACAATTTCCTTATGCAAGAGGCTGAAGCAAAGATTTTAAAATGTTTTTACATATCACACAATGGATCATAAATCTGCTTAATGATTGAACAGAGTGAAGACAAAACTGACGTAGAGATGAGATTGATCTGTGATTACAGATAAGATAACAGGGAGGCGGCGGGCAAAGGTTTTTATAGAATTCTTCCTCCAGAACCTCACATTATCTGGGATCTGTCAGACATGTGAGGATGGTGACTTTTAGGAAACAATATGTGGTGTCCAGACCCGTGTACTCTGATGACAGCTTTGATGAAGACTATCAAAAAATCTACAGGCAGCACAAAACCTCCTTGGATCATTTGAAAGCTTATCTGACGTAAGTGAACCCTGAGATTTGACTTCATAACTTTGAGATATTCTGCAAAATAGGTGTCAGATTTTCATATATGATAACTTTATGCATCAGTTTGCACTTTAAAGCAGATGTGTATCTTGGCGTTCGTTACCAAATGATAGAAAGTGCTGTATGAACATATTTAGGTTTAAGAAAAAGTATAAATAATAATAATATTCAAAGACAGTATGGAGATGTCAGGTAACCTGTTTCGCTGATGCTCGATTGTTGTGTTGACTTTTGATTGTGTTTTTTGGTTTGTATTGTAAAATAATAACCTACTTTTAAACTGTGTAAGCTGTTATTTGGCCCTCCATAGTGTTTATTTTACAGACAGACATATTTTTATCGTTCAGTCAATTTGTATATATTTTACTTTTTAGTTCTGATCTATTTATTTTGTATTCTTTCAAATTATACGCAATGCCTTGTTTTAACATGCTGCTGTGACTGAAACATTTCCCAATGTAGGATCAATTATCTATGTTACTAGTATTGGTTGTAAGCAGCTGTTATTGACAGACAATCTATTTTGAGTAATGGATCAAATAAGACTCTCATTCCTTGCTCCTTTCCATCATAAACTGTGAAGGTAAACTTCTGTTGTTGCAATGTTGAGGTAGAATGAAGGAGTCTGGAACCGTTGTTAGCCAAAAGCACCGAGAGTTTATTGATCACAGTACATTAATTACATACGGCCGGGGAGATCACTTAGTTGCACACCGTCCCGTGTTTCACCAGCGATCTCTGAACCAAAAGACACAAAACATCTAACCAACACGAGGAGAGGCGGGCTTCCAGAAAGCCCGCGTATAATCAATAGCCGATGCGAGACAATGGTCCGCTTGTCTCAAAGAGATGCTGCCAGGTCAACCCTCCCCCACGGACATAGGAGAAGCGTTTGACCTGTGACCTCAACCTACAGAGGAGTCTTTGAGTGACTACAAGCAGATGTTTGCAGTATCACAGACTCTAAGGAACCATAAAAGACTCTATTAACAGATCAGATGAAAATATTCTCTTACATAAACTACAAAAAAAATCAGCATACATGTTTGTGTGTTATAATAATTGCCAAGAGTGGAATAAAAACTAATAATAAATATAGGATTTTATGAAATTGTGTCAAAGGAAAATGCTCTGTCTTTGTTAAATCCAGCTGTGACTCAAAACGAGCCAAGAATGCAGTTCTCTCTTTTCTGCCCATCATTGGCTGGATGAGGATCTACAGAGTTAGAGAGTGGCTGCTGGGAGATGTTGTTTCTGGGATCAGCACTGGAATGGTGGCCATTATGCAAGGTGAGGTTTTCCAATCCGGTTTTAAAACTATGCATAGCACTGAAACAGCGCTTTTAAGAGTTTTTAATGACATCCTTTTATCTACTGACTCTGGGGACTGCGTTGTGCTCCTACTTATTGATTTAACTGCTGCTTTCGATACAGTCGACCATGACATCCTGATTTCTCGCTTGGAGCAGTGGGTGGGCATTGAGGGGAAAGCCCTGGAATGGTTCAGGTCATATCTGAAGGACAGAACTTTCTCTGTCAGCCTTGGTGACTCCGAGTCATCCTCTGCTCCACTCCTGTATGGGGTCCCACAGGGCTCAGTATTAGGCCCCCTGCTATTTTCCCTCTATTTGCTCCCTATTGGGTCCATACTTAGAAAGCACGGCATTGCATTCCACTGCTATGCTGATGATAGCCAGATGTATGTCCCACTAAAAAAGAAGGAGGGTGACTCAATTAGCCCGCTGCTAAAGTGCCTAGAGGTCATAAAGGCCTGGATGGCGTGCAACTTCCTAAAACTGAATGAAGGAAAAACAGAAGTAATGGTTTTTGGTGGCACCACTGGCATACATTCTGTAGACCTGGGTTCCTTGGCTCAGCACACCAAGCCCACCATTACTAACCTTGGCATTAAAATGGACCCAACTGCTCCTGAATGTGCCCAGAAACAAGTCAAAGCTCAGAGGGGGCCGTTGCTTCTCTGTAGCGGCTCCCACACTGTGGAACGATCTGCCCATGCACATCAGACAGGCTCCCACACTGTGGAACGATCTGCCCATGCATATCAGACAGGCTCCCACACTGTGGAACGATCTGCCCATGTATATCAGACAGGCTCCCACACTGTGGAACGATCTGCCCCTGTATATCAGACAGGCTCCCACACTGTCTGCTTTTAAATCGCTTCTTAAAACCCACCTCTTCTCCTTAGCGTATTAACATATTTTACTTGTATTGCTTTTAAATTCTCTATTGGTTTTACTTGTGTTATGGTGTGTGAGCTGTGCTGTGTTATTTTTTGTATGTTTTGTTTTGTTTATTTGACTGTACATCACTTTGGTCTGGAGGTTTAAAGTGCTCTATATATAAAGCTGTATTGTATTGGAAACATGTTGACACGGTTTGTACGGTCGACACAGAAGTGGCATTTTCACAGAATATTGCCCTTAAAAATGTTGATTTCTGGATGAAAAATAGGGCATATGCTTAAGATTTGTG